TCTATCTATCTATCTATCTATCTATCTATCTATCTATCTATCTATCTATCTATCTATCATCTTTATTCTGAATATTTCTATCTATCTATCTATCTATCTATCTATCTATCTATCTTTATTCTGACTATTTCTATCTATCTATCTATCTATCTATCATGGTTTGTGAATATGGTAATTATACAGAACCATTGTATATCTCATTTATCTGCCAAACGTGTGACTCCTTGGAATACTATTTTACAAAAATAAAGCATTCAACTGGCAAATTATTACAAAAATAGTGCCTACTTCCTGTTTACACTTTTCTGCTATAACAAACCGACTGTACTTTCATGTAACACTATGACAGCTGCTGCTGACGTCCACTTAAACTAAAGAGAAGATGGTGTAATAATACGCACTCAGACTGCAGCTCATTCTCCTCCTCAGGTAAAGAGCGCTCTTTGCTGGAAGAGTCCTCTTCTGACAGTGACGACTGTGAACTTCCTTCCATCATCCTTTCAAATCTGATTAATAGCTACAGTTTAATCCTCTTGTAGTCTTTCACTCCTAAATCCACAGCGCGTGTAACGTGCACAGCAGCGTGCTAATGTGATGTTATTCACTGGAGGGGAAGTTTCACATATAAACACCTTCATTGACACGCAAGACATCACGGAGCAGGAAGTGATGCTCAGTCTGTCACAATAATAAACATATCCCAACTGTATGACCTTTACAAACTAATTACAATATAATGGGACTAATTCATTTAGCCGAATGCCTAGCTCTAGAGTGTGATTTATGATTTAAAAGAGTGATTTTATACGTTGTATAAGGGTTACTAGACTGAGATAGAGAATCAGGAAGTGATTTGATGGTGAGCAGCAGGGAATTTCTGCTTTAGCATCATCTGCTCTCGTGGGCTTTCTGAAAGACTGCGAAAAGCAGTACTATTAAAAACCAAACCACGACGTCTCGCTGTTAACATGAGCGAAAGGACACTGGGAGGTTGTGTTTCACTTCCAGAATGTCTGTTTACTCGTACTGTTAACTCATGTACTATGGTAACCATACTTGCCACCAAAATAGTTACAGCAGTTACTGTTACTACAGTAATAGTGTTACAAATGCAATATTGTTTCAGTTTTGTATGACTTAGTACTGGAAAATACCAAGTTCCTTATGAACAGTTCTGTTTTTGCACCAAAATGCTTGGATAATACAATCTTCCATGTGGCAATTTACAGTTTGCAATAAACTAACAGGAATTTTAGTGGAAACTGTGATTATAATATGTATATGTACTAAAAGAACAGAAAATAACAATACAGCAATAGCTTAGCACAAACAGATAGCTTCTATTTACACTATGTAAAAATAGCAGTATTTTCTGCTATTTATACTACTTATTGCAAATAGTGGCAAATATCTGCACCTCAGTATTGTAGTACATTATAAAACAGCATGCAAATAACATATTAGTGTAAGTTATCATTTTTATTAGGACTATTTAATGAATGCTGCCTTATTGGGACAATATAAGCCCTCCCTACACCTACCCTAACCCTAGCCGATACTTTATTTTCAGCTTTTCGATTATTTTCTTCATTTTAATTGAAAATAAACGACTTTCTAATAAGAGATGTGAAAAGTCAGAAGAATGAGTTCGGCAAAAGGCGTATTCTAACTTGGGTCGATCGTGTCATAATGCATTAAAGCGCTTTATCATCTAAGCTACTGAAGCCGTCGCTTGTCGACTGTCTTTTGTAGTGTTGTCCAGCCCAACCAAATGTTGGTGGGTGGAGGTAGTGCAAATAGCTTCTGCCAACAAGGCTGGCTATATGCACTTAGTGTAAATAGACACTCGGTTTATTTTTACAGACTGTAGACACAGTATGCAGTAAGAAGTATGCTAGTGTTTCATTGTGAAAACTGCAGATGTGATGTGGGAGATGGATTAACACACTGACCACATTACCGTCCCACTGGCCACGCTTCCTCTATTCATTATGACTGCACGCCAGTCAGTGTATTGCTGAGTCCAGCATTAGTTAGAGCATTAGCTCTAGTCAGCTGAGGGTGAAGGAAGTGCTTTAGCAATGGCTTTATTGACCCAGTGTGCTATCAGGACCAAGGATGAAACGTGCTCTGAAATGGAACGTCCTCCGTTCGCTTTGAAACAGAACCGAAGGACAAGGGTGATGACTGAATGTGCTGTTAGGTTTGCTTGTTAACTATGACCTTGTTAACAAAGGCACTGTGATGTTTGATGAGAAATGCAACAAAAACACACACCAAGCTATACTGGATAGCAAAAAAACTAGTCATCCATGTCATAATTTCTTTGGATTGAAATTATAATTTCAATCAAGTTTTTGGGCATACGGGTCAACCTATATGGCAAAAAAAAAAAAAAGTGGAGCATTAAAATATCTTACATATATGTTAAATATAAATTAAATATATTTTTGAAATTGAAATATTTGGTTATATATTTATATTTATTTAGTTTTACCCTTCATTTCCCAAAATAATATTTCATAACCAAAATATATAAAAAAATGTATTTCAGGGGCAAGAAAATACTCTAGTCTTAGAGTAGCGTATATGTAGGCTTAATTTGGTATTTATTTT